CCAATAAAAGCGCCAACATTAACTGGGGATCTGGAGAAATACAATCAGCCGGCGGCGATAAGCATGGCCGCGCGAGTTATGGGAAACAAGGGGATTAATAGCGCTGTTTTCGGGCGGTGCTGGATGGGCGTGGGGAGCCGTGTTTGGCCGGCCGGCGTCGGCTGCTGTCTGGTCAGGTTAGGCGTCAATCGAGTCAGTACGACCGAGACATTTTGCGGAGTTAATACTGGCTGCCGTCCAAGCAGACCTGTCAAATTCTGTTAATACCTGCTGGAAGCAAGATTTTGCGAGTGCGCCTTCCGCGCAACGTTAGCCATCTCAGGAAAGAGGTCTTCAGCATTAAGCTGAAGCATCAGCTCATCCTTGAACCCATCCACCCCAGCCCAGCCTGGTCCAGCGGCCGTGCGCAAAACTCGGCCGGCCGCTGAAACTCCATCAACATCACGGCAGTCCACATAGGGCCGATTCCGCACCATGCTCCACTGCAGGTCACGCTCATTCGCCGCCTGCCTCGTCATCCTCCTCCCCCTCCCGCCCCACTCGCCTCGGCGCCCGGGCATCTGCGGTCGGAGTGCCAGGCGGCCGCCGCCGCCGGCCCCGGCGCCCATAGAGGCAGTCCGCCAAGGTCTAGGCGTGAGCAACTCCAGTGTCGGCGCCCATAGAGTCGGCCGCGGCTGGCGCGTGAGTGACGCCGGCGCCGGCGCCCATACAGTCGGCGGCGCCGGGGCGTGAGTGCGGCCGGTCGAGGCGGCCGGCGTGCCCCGTCAGCGGCGCGCGCTTTCAGGCCGGCTGATGGGCCGATCACGGCCCGCCAATTAGCCGAACGGCCGGCAGTTAGCGCCCGGCTCGCGCGCGCAGCCGCCCCTCGCGCGCTAATCGGAGGCGAACGCGGCGCGGCGCGGCGACCTGCACGGCGCGCGGCCGCCGTTCGCGCAGAAGGAGGCGAACGTGGCCAGATGAGGCGCCCTGCCCTGCCCTGCCCTGCCCACGCTGTGGATGATGCGGTCTGCCATTGGCGGGTTTTGCGTCGAATGGTTCGCATGCATGGCTCGGGGTTTCGAGTGCTTGTTGGGCGAAATTGGTCACTTGCGTTCTTGAATCATTACTCAAGAAGGCCGGTCCAGCTCATCAGATGATTGTCAAGACCGGTGAACAGATAAAAACGATAGACGGATGCAAGATGAGTACGAAGAAACCTTTCGCGCTGACCCAGTTGGTGCTGGCACCCCACGCAACACGGTAGCATGGTTAGGCAATAGCTGCCACCCTCACGACGCCTTCGTTCTTCTGTTTGCAGCTTATGTCTATGGTTAAACATGGCCGGTATTACATAATAGGGTGTTCGGCCGACATTACATAAAAAGGGTGTTCACAGTCTGCGGAATCGTGGTAGCCTGGGAATTAGCATGACTTGGGATGTGAGGAGACCTTCGACACTCACACAGTCTACAGTATGCATGTTTGTGTATGCATGCATGCATTTATCATCCAGTGTCCATGCCAATAGGGGTATTCAAGCGGTTTCGTCATGCACTTGCTACATGCAAGTCAGCCACAGAATTGCGTGAACTTCCCAGGTCGTGAACAACACGTGATGTAGCTCGCAAATCACAATCCACGATTGGCATCGTCAGTGAAAAGATTGAGGATCACAGTTTTAGCTGGAAGATCACACCTTCAGCAACGATCATCTTCGCGTAAGCTGCAGCGATTTTGAGAAGGAGCGATAAAGTGCCTATCTGTTGAACGACTGCGCTGTACTTGACAGAACATCCTTCCACGTGTACCTCTGCAAGGGACACCACGTGCCGTCTACTCCACAGCACGTGCCGTGTACAGTTTCGCTGACATTCGTTTCAATGAATTCACGGCGAACGGCACCTGAGGACCTTGAGTAAATTCTGCGGCCCGTCACTTTAAATGTAGGTGGTTTTCTGTGGTCGCCGCCCAGCCGCTGCCCGTCCGTCCGATGTGCCCGCGGGGCGTGCCGGTGACCCTGCCGTCTCCGGCGCGCGGCCTCATCTGGTCCCGACCGGCGGCGGCCGTTTTTACCGGCGCCTCATATCTTTTTATTGGCTGCCTGTCTGCGCGGCTGCGCGGTCGGCCGGTGGCGCTGTGACCGGCTAATTGCAGGTTGTCGCCGGTCGTGTGGCCGAGCCGGCCGCGGCGGCCGCGGCGGCCAGCGGCGGGGCGGCGTTGGCCGACAGGTCATCAGCTGATCGGCCAGCCCTCCGCATCAGCCGCCGTCAGCGGCGGAGCCGGCGGCAGGCTGCCGGTGTGGGGCTGCTGGTTGGGTTAGAAGAGACATGGCTGAGATTAGTAGTGGAACCGTAGGCGACTCTGGGAGAGGAACAGTAGGTTGGCGTACAGGGAGTCTAATGCCGTGACCCGTCGGGCCTGTGGAGGAGGCTCATTTGAGCGTCAGGAGTAGGCTTCCGGGCCTACCGCAGGACCCGGTCGACCTCTGTCGAATGCCTGTCTGTGCTAGTATGCGGCCTTGAAATAAACGTTGGGATTGCGCCCGTGGCTCACCCTGATTTTAGAGGTCCCGGCTCATGGCTTTGGGTGAACTGGGCCTGTCTGATGGATGCGATGGTGAACACATTGCTGGGTCGTTGACTTGCACTTCAGTGGCCGATTTTTGTTCTGCCGACTGACCCAGTTTTTCCCCTGTTCGCTCCATAAAAAGTTATAAATGCAAATGCGTTTCCCTGCTTGCCTCGGGGCTACGCGAGGCACGACGGAAACAAACTTGGGAGCGATTAATGTGTGTACATACTCAATGCCAGATATTTTTGGCGTTGTGCAATAATCACAAACACAATGCATCAAAAAGTAAATTCACTTTGGCAGAAAACCGCATAATGGGCTGTTCTTCTCTTCCCCATCGTGGTGCCTGCAACGGCTTTTTGGGCAGAGAAAAGTGCACAGTCCACGGCATGCAACAGCACCTTCCGTCATTCCGTTCTGCTCACAACACAGTGCGAGAGCTCCAAACTCAGCGGCACAGTGGGCCATCTGGCGCATCCGACAGTGCACCACAGTGGGCCATCTGGCGCGTCCGACAGTGCACCACGCCGCACCGTTCCGGCGACGGTGCACCGCTCCATCCCTGCCGCTGTCGGTGCGGCCGTCCTGCCGTCCGCTGGCGCCGGCACATTAGGTCCGCCGCTGTCGCCCCTCCCCCCGCGGCGCTGGCGCTGCGACGCTGGCTCTCCGGCGCCGCGGCCCTGAAGCATGGCGATGCCACCGGCGATGAGCCTGCGAGATGAGGCGCGCCTTGTTTAAACGCCTCCCCGAGCCCGACATAATGGAGAGCGCCTAATGAAATCGATTTATTACCCGTACCGTTAGATATCTCCCGGATTAATTAGAGCTCAAGTCAAATGTCCCTGCAGTCAAGATTAAGTCGGCACTGGGAGGGGGGGCTGGGGCGGGTCTTAGTGGTGCGTCGACCCCCGCCCTGTTGCCCCCCCCCCCCCCCAGTTCAGCGTTGGCTTCCGACGAGCGTGCCAGCAGGGGCGCTGATTGCGTGCGCCTAGACTTGGTGGGTTCAAGGCTCGTGCAGTGCCCGTCTCCACCAAAGCTTTGATGGCTGAGAGCTGTCGCCGGAGGTTTGCGTGTTGTGTTGCCGAGCAACGAAGCCCGAACACCCGTCGAAGATGTCTTACTTTCCGACCGTCGCTGACGAAGCCAGACTGCGACTTCAAATGGTTCTTTATTCCGTCCGCGTTTTAATCAACTGTGCGTCGGCACTAATTAAAGCTGTTTACTTTGAGGCCCCAATTATACGAATCGCCTTCTGCTGGCGTCGATCAATGCCAGAGTCCGGCGTCGAAACGGCATCTCCCCCGGGCGGTGGCGGACCGCCGCCGGCTATGATTTCTCATTTTCTCTTTCGTTATGGCTCTAATTAGCTATCCCCGAGTTTAACTCCTTTGTTTGCTCGTGATCGACGGGCCGGAGCCGCGCGGCTTCGGCTTTGGACAGCGGCCGGCGGCGTGCGCCGAGCCGCGCCGTGGTGATGCCGCCGCGAATCGGCCCGTTCTGTTTGTGTCTGAATAAATCCGGGCTGGAAGGCGCGTGTCGGCGTGTAGAGCCCCGCCGAGCTCGGCCGCGCCCGTCCGTCGACCGGCACCCCGCCCCGGACTGCGCCGAGCTACGTAGAGCCCCGCCGAGCTCGGCCGCGCCCGTCTGTCGACCGGCACCCCACCCTGGGGTGCACCGAGCCACCTAGAGCTCCACCGAGCTCGGCCGCGCCCGTCTGTCGACCGGCACCCCGCCCCGGACTGCACCGAGCTACCCAGAGCTCCGCCGAGCTCAGCCGCGCCCGTCTGTCGACCGGCACCCCGCCCCGGACTGTACCGAGCTACCCAGAGCTCCGCCGAGCTCGACCGCGCCCATCTGTCGACCGGCACCCCGCCCCCGGCTGCACCGAGCTACGCAGAGACCCACCGCTCGGCCGCGCTCATCTCTCGACCGGCATCCCGCCCCGGGCTGCTCCGAGCTACCCAGAACCCCACCGCTCGACCGCGCCCGTCTGTCGACCGGCACCCCACCCTGGGGTGCACCGAGCCACCTAGTGCTCCGCCGAGCTCGGCCGCGCTCGCCTGTCGTCTAGCACCCCGCCCCGAGCTGCACCGAGCTAGCCAGCTAGCAGACACTCACACTCCGCCGACGGAGGCCCTTGCATCCGTTTTTGCGTTCGTTTGCTGCTTCTCTTGTTTTATTCCCCTGGCCCGATCTTTCGTTGATTCTTCCGTCCGCCTGTTTTCGTGTCTGTAGTGTTATTAACTTCGGTGGCAGCACTAGCAGCATCGGGAATTGTGCGCAGGCAATTTCTCAGGATTTGCCTGTCAGTTTCTTCAGATATGCACTCATATTTTGCCTGTCAGGATTGTAGACGCCGAGAGACGCTGGTTTCCTCGTAGGAATGTTTTCTTCGTTCTCGTTTTCGCTGGTTTTGTATGCCGCTGACGTGGATCGTCCTGCTGTTTCAGACGTGACCATCAAACAACTGAAAGAGGAAATCCGCCAGCACGAAACAAAGCAAGAAAGCGTTATCGAGGTGAGCCTGCCGCGACGACAGTGCATTCAGCACTGCGTATAGACCGCATCTGTGCAGTCGTTAGAGACCCAGGGCAAACGCCCTTCACCCATGTCGAGCTCACCTGACTGGTTGATGTGGGTCGCGAGCAGCTTGCGGTAGCTGGTCATGCTCGCTGGTCACCGCTGGTCAGCTGCAGTCGGCCGCCCGCCCCCGCCGGGTGTTCACGCTGGCATGCGCGCGGCCACCACGCGTCGGCGGTTGATTGCGCCCTTCTGTAATTGATTGTATTGCCGCGGCGCTGCGGCCTGTTCGTCCCCCAGCTGCGCGGGGAGCATCGGTGATGGGCAGGCACGTGACGTCTGAGACGGTCGCTCGGCCGCGCTTTGGTAGTACGTGAGACGGGAAGGTGTACGGTCACGGCTTGCTGACATGACTGATACCACAAGCTCGCGTACTGTCAACGGTGGATGGCGGCGGACCCAGCCTTGGGTTCACATGGTGAAGCGGAACGACTGGGCCTATTCTCGGCGTCCTCTGGGTGGAAGCGTTCTGACTGTGGCCGTGACCGCATCACATCACTCAGCTCGTTGTCCATCCCGTGAGACGTTCATGACCGGTGTGTGTCCCAACCTAGCGCTGGGCGTTGCACCAGTGCGGAACTTCAAACAGCAACGGATTCGTATTGCTGTGGTGATCAAACAGCGCCCTGGACATTGATTCTTGCATGCCACTAACACTGCCGCAAGCGCTTCGGCGTACACTTCAACAGCCTCACCCGCTATGATCCGCCGTTTCCCCGTGCGTGGCGGCATACGATGGTGCGTCGGAGCGCCTACTGTCGCTGCAGCGAGGCCCTCTGACCGGCCGTGTCGTGCCTGCTCCATCCGTCGTCGGTCCTCAGTCCGGCCGTCCTCCAGGTTTGACGACAGGCGGCCCCAACCCCGCCAGGTATGCAGCGAGCTGGCCCCAGCGCCCGGCGGCCCGCAACCGCGTGCCATCGGCTCGCATTACCACGCCGCGCCGCCGTTATGGGCGCTATATCACATTTATCGACGGCGAATCTGTTTCTAATAATCGGTCAGCCGCCGGCGGCGGCGGCGGCATGGGCGCTGGTGCGGGCGCTGGCGCGGGCGTTGGTGCGGGGCCTCGTGTGCTCGCGCCCGCACGACACCTTGGATGGTCGGCCGAGCCGGGTTCGCTGGACCGTGATCAGCCCACTCCACATAAACAGCGCGCTACGGCCCATAAAAGAGTGCGGAACAGTGGCGGGGGCGGCCAATTTGGGCGTGCGTCGCTCTGCCGCCGTAAATATTGTCACCGGCCGCGATTTACGGCCCGGGTACGCCGCGTGATGGGCTGATGGAGCGTGATGGGCCGACGCTGATGATGTCTAATGGAGCGGCGGGGCTGATGTGCCGAAGTACCAGCGCTCCGGACCGTGAGCCCTGCTGCGGCATCGGTCGGAAGCCGGCGAGCTGATGACGCACCGATGACGCAGTGATGACGCATGGTGGCCCGGTGACAACGGGCCGGTGGAGTCGTACTGCACGGTGATGATGGTGGCCTGATGAAGCTCTGCCCGGGGAGCCGCGCTGATGGCCTGATGGGGCCGTGCGCCTGCGCTGGTGGCGGATGCCGGCCACTGTGACTGCATTATGCATGAGAGCGTGCGGCCACCACCGCCCATTGATGGCTTTATCGCGGCTCCAGGATTGGCTGGACATTGGACGGTGCTCTCGGCCATTGTGGCCGGTCGCGGGTCTGGCGACCTGCACGCGCAGGCCAGCCGCCGCGCCGTGTATGGGCAGCTTTGGATGCGGACCGACGCCGCAGTTGAAGACGATGGGTTGTCGGTTAAGCGATAGAGGCTTCACTGAGGCTGTGGTGTACTGCTGGCCGACCGTTCGCGGTATCTGCAGTCCGTGGACGAGTTCTGCTGAACTGGTGGTCTTCGGTCCGCCCAGGAGCCCGCCTGCTTCTCCTGGGGGACTGCACTGACGCCAGGGAGACTCGCTGATCGGATATGAACCGGATTCAGTGCTGCCATTGATGGCTTGATGTAGTCTGCATCTACCAGAGCTACCCTGTCGCTGCAAGGTTCTGAAGGTTTGGATACATCTCTACTGGCTTCACTGTTACCTTTCGTAGACCAATACCGGTTCAGCTCACAGAAAATATTTTCCAGCCACCTGAACCGTAGCCTGCCGCCGTTTTCACGCCACAAATGTGAACTACACGTCGCTGTCTATCCCGATGAGAGTTCATGTAACCGGCCCGACCGTGCACGCGCCGCGGCCGGCGGAACCCACGACATCGCCGTCAGCTCGGCCGCGCTGCGTCGACCCGGCCTTCCCGGGCGCTGCGTATCGGCGTGGCGGGTCTTCGCGTCACGACCGGCGGCGTCACGCCACACCAGCCGCCGCCGCCGTGCGGTCGCCGTGTGAAGCAGACATTGTCCAATTGATCCGGCGCTTCCTGTTCCGGCCCGTTTTTGCCGTGCCCTCTCGGCCGCCCCCACCGCCGGAAAGCCGATCCTCGCCGCTGCGGCGGTCGCGGCCGGCAAAAAGGCCCGATTGGGGCGTGCGCGGCCGAAGACCCCGGCACGCGCCGCGGTCAGCTGATTGGCCGGTCACGCTGCTGACCCGACAATTGCCCCGGGCGCCAGCGCTGGGCCGTCAGCTTGTCCGAGGACCCAGCTGATTGGCCGGTCACGGCGCAGACCATCAGCTTCTCCGGGCCCCAGGTGCGGGTCATGACTGGGAATGAGGCGACATTGTCCGGTAGCCTTCTTTCCCGGGCGCAGACCGTGGAGTAGATACTCAAGCGCTGACATCCTCAGGCTGATGGACCCGTGGCCGGTTGATCCCCCTCAGCCCGGGCGCAGACCGTGGAGTAGAAACTCCAGCGCTGACATCCTCAGGCTGATGGACCCGTGGCCGGTTCGTCCCCCTCAGCCCGGGCGCAGACCGTGGAGTAGAAACTCCAACGCTGACATCCTCAGGCTGATGGACCCGTGGCCGGCTCGTCTTCCTCGGTTTGAGACGGAAATCGCCAGTCGGTCGTCCGCCGGTTCGATTTGGAGGCTGTGAGCTGGCTGGTCGGAAGTCTCGGCACTTGTCCTGGCGTTCTTGACTCACTGGTCGCGGACCGAAGCCTGGTCGTCCGCCGGTTCGATTTGGAAGCTGTGAGCTGGCTGGTCGGAAGTCTCGGCACTTGTCCTGGCGTTCTTGACTCAGTGGTCGCGGACCGAAGCCTGGTCGTCCGCCGGTTCGATTTGGAGGCTGTGAACTGGCTGGTGGGAAGTCTCGGTACTTGTCCTGGCGTGCTTGACTCGGTGGTGGCGGACCGAAGCCTGGTCATCCGCCGGTCCGTTGAAGTCAGCGCTCGTCGTCCGCGGACGCCATCAGTGCGGGGAAGAACAGCGTACTGTGCTGCACTGCAGGGTGCCGTGTTACACGCTGGTGCGGCGAGCTCGTGTCTCCCTGTCCCTGACTCATCGCGAGGCGGGGTCAGATCCCGCTCGGGCGGCAGCCTGTCTGCGATAGGTCTCGATCGAGAAACTGGTTTTGACGACCGTATCGCGCTGGATGTTGCTTATAAACGCGGCGATGTTATTTTTGGCGCTGCGTCGCGACCGATGTGTGTGGGCAATGGTCTCGACTACTCCGCTGATCGTCTGTTTTGTCCGTTAATGCTTGTTTCTGAATGGTGTGCGGCAAATGTACCTGACATGCGATTTGTAGTATCTTGACTTCATTACATCTGCTTAAGTGCTCCCATTCCACCAACAACGCGCGTAGTGTGGCTTTTACGCTCTTCTGCGGGTCAGCTTCCACTTCCTCGACTTTGATTCGTGTCTTCTTCTGAAAAACGAAACAAGGGCTGGCCATCAGTGGTTCCACTTTTAGCTTGCCTGACGTTATCTAACTTGCCCTGACTTTATCTAGTCTTCTGAATCCGACAGGCTTGTATCCGGGAGATGGAGCGTGTCCGGCCGAAAGAGTCCCAGGAGTGCGAGCAGACCTGACCTGACCTGACCTGACTCTCTGACTCCAACAGGCACGCGTCCGCGATCTGGAGCGTGACCTGCTGAGGGAGTTCCAGGAGCGCGAGCAGACGTACCACGACGAGCAGCTGTTGCTGACGCGGCGGCTGGGAGAGTCCGAGCACAAGATTGCCCAGCTCACCAGTGGTGAGTACCGCTTCCGGCGTAGGTCTTGGGCGCCATGGCGCCGAGAACAAAGTCGCCCAGCTCACCAGTGGTGAGTATCGCTTCTGGCGTAGGTCTGGGGCGCGATGGTGCCGAGAACAAGGTTGCCCAGTTCACCAGTGGTGAGCACCGGTCCCCGCATAGGTCTTGGGCGTGATGGTGCCGAGAACAAGGTTGCCCAGCTCACCAGTGATAGGAACCGGTACCGGCACAGGTCTTGGGCGCGATGGTACCGACAACAAGGTTGCCCAGCTCACCAGTGGTGAGTACCGGTCCCGGCACAGGTCTTGCGCGCGATGGTGCCGAGAACAAGGTTGCCCAGCTCACCAGTGGTGAGTACCGGTCCCGGCGCAGGTCAAGGGCGCGATGGTGATGGTGACGGTCAGTGGTGAGTACCGCTCCCGGCATAAGTCAGGGGCGCAATGGTGATGGTGACGGCCAGAGGTCAGCACCGCTCCCGGCGTAAGTCAGGGGCGCGATGGTGATGGTGACGGCCAGAGGCCAGTACCGCTCCCGGCGTAAGTCAGGGGCGCGATAGTGATGGTGACGGTCAGTGGTGAGTACCGCTCCCGGCGTAAGTCAGGGGCACGATGGTGATGGTGACGGTCAGTGGCGAGTACCGCTCCCGGCGTAAGTCAGGGGCGCGACGGTGATGGTGACGGTCAGTGGTGAGTACCGCTCCCGGCGTAAGTCAGGGGCGCAATGGTGATGGTGACGGTCAGTGGTGAGTACCGCTCCCGGCGTAAGTCAGGGGCGCGACGGTGATGGTGACGGTCAGTGGCGAGTACCGCTCCCGGCGTAAGTCAGGGGCGCAATGGTGATGGTGACGGCCAGAGGTCAGTACCGCTCCCGGCGCAGGTCAGGGGCGCGATGGTGATGGTGACGGCCAGAGGTCAGTACCGCTCCCGGCGCAGGTCAGGGGCACGATGGTGATGGTGACGGTGTAGGTGATGACGGTGACGGCGATGACGGTGCTCGTGATGACGCTTTTTGTCATGATGAAGATGTTCATGTTGACAATGATGATAACTGTAAATGTGATAATGACTGGAGGTGGCAGAGACGCGTGAAAGCCTTTCGTTGCTTTGTTGATTTGCCAACCAGTCAAACAGGTTTTGTGTTATTTTTGGTGGACGTTTCTGCCAGGCTGTTGCTTTGAAAAGCAATATTTAGGTTATGACTCGCCTGGCCCAATGTTTTACTCATCGAAACCGTCGATGTTCAATTGCCGACAGTCAGTTTAAGTCAGCGACTGTGAAGAATAGGCAGTTGCGCGATCGGACATCGCGCGTTCAACGACCATCACTACCAGCGGACGTCGAGATGTTTCAGGGGATTGCGATGGACTCAAGTGCGATTGGAAACACGATATATTTCCGATCTGGCATTTTTTTTTATTGATAGCGCCCATTCTTGAATTTCTAGGCGTTGCAGCCAGTCACATAGTGGGACATGGCTGCGACACAGGAATGGACTCGCTGTAACGGGAGCTATCTGGTACTTGGTATTCAACAGGGCTCATTTTCTGCACCAGCGTCCCAAGTAGCTGGGTGTTTCGGTAAACCCGCGATTCCGTCAGCATTCGATGGCGCATGCGCAATTCAGCATATGCATCTCTCCACCTTTGTTCGCACGCCCCGGCCACCAGCGGCCGCCTGATCGGCCGTCGTTACTCACTCGCCTTCCTCGAAGGCAGGAAGTGTGCGATTGCGCCGAGGACGACATTGATGATGCCCAGCAGATTGCGCCCATCTGTGCAGTGCACTTGATTGGGGTGCGCGTCCGGTGTGCTCCGGTGCGGCTCGCTCACTCAGAGAGCAGGAATGCCGGACCGCCGCGGCGCGCGCGCCCGGCAGCCGGCGCCGTCCGCTCCCACAGCGGCTGCTCAGGGTCAACCGAGCCATACGGCGCCCAATTAAGAGTGTGAGAATTCTTCGATGGGATGTGGCTGGGGCCGGCGCGAGCGGCTCGCACCCTGCGCGGCCGGCCGCCGCCACCCGGCATGCGCCTCGAGGAGGAGGAAGGGGCGGGCCGCGACATAAGAGGCGGGAGGAGAGAGACCAGACGCGGGACACGACACATGGCGCACGGCGCACGGCACACGGCACACGGCACACGGCGCACGGCACACGGCGCACGGCACACGCCACACGGCACTCGGCGCACGCCACGCGGCACACGGTGCACGGCACACGGCGCACGGCACACGGCGCACGGCACACGGCACACGGCACACGGCACACGGCGCACGGCGCACGGCGCACGGCACACGGCACACGGCGCACGGTGCACGGCACACGGCACACGGTGCACGGCGCGCGGTACACGGCACACGGCACACGGCACACGGGGCACGGCACACGGCGCACGGCGCACGGTGTACGGCACAAGGCACACGGCACATGACACATGACACATGGCACACGGCACATGACACACGGCACACGGCACATGACACACGGCACACGGCACACGGCACACGGCACACGGCACACGAGACAAGGGCACCTGGATGCTGGAAATGGACGCTCCGACGGCGATATCACCTGCCCGGGGCGTGGTCGGAGCTCCGCCGTGGTCGCGCGACCCGCCCAGTGCCGGCTGGGCGGTCACGGGCAACCCCACAGCCCGGTCAGGCCATCCCTCGACTGCGATCGGCTCCGTGCCGGGTCGGGGCGCTGCAGTCCAGCTCGGTCGGGTAATTGGACGAGCGATGCCGCCACCGGCCACCGGCGGCGGCCCAGCCGAGGTGTCCGGGCCGGCCTTCTCACAGCGGCCGAGCCGCCCGCGGCGCGGGGCCAGTCGCCGCCGCCGCCTGACAGCCTCGGGTTCTCGACGGCTGTTCCGCTGAGCTACGATATGTGGCCGCATATGCGGCCGCCGCAATGGAGGAGCGCTCGTTAATAGCAATTTCCCGCGTCGTATTACACACTGGTGAGGGAGCGCCGCGGAGGTGCTCGTGAGGCGGGCGCATCGTTCACAACTGACAGCGCTTCTGTTAGGCGCCTCGGCGCGGTGACTGCCCCCTCCAGAGCGACTGCCTGCACGTCGCGCGGGCGAGTGTCGCTCTCGGGAAGAAACGACGCGCATTTTTCAAACGCCACCTCCCCGCGGCATCATCCGCGCCGACCTTGTATTTATAGGCGATCCGTCTCCCGGATACAGGCCCGGCGCTTACTTACGCTCAAACTTGGCTCAATTCATATCATTTTGTGAATTTACTGCGCGCTTTACGAGCCGCCCGCCGGGGGCCGTGTAAAAAGCATAGGGCGCGCCGGGAGGTCGGACGGATCTGCTGGCGATGCGACCGCCGCCGCCGCCGCCGCTGGCGCCGGCGCGAATCATCGGAGCCGGGGCGCTCGCCGCCTCCTTGCCGCCAGCCGGCTGCCGGTAATCGAGCGTTGTGCATGCGGCAAAATCGAATGCGCTGATGATCATTGTCCGAAGTGGCGCCGAGCCTCATCAAAAGTCCATTAGGGTGTAATTATGAGCGGCGGCGATATCAATTGTCGGCGCCCCAGTCATGGTGTTCGCTGCGTGTCCGGGCAGCTGTCGACGCCTGGCGGAGCGGCTCCTCCCGCCGGTCACGTGCTGCTGGCCGCCGGCCGGCCGGACGGGTCACGTGTGTCGGCTGGTCGCACGAGGCGCCGCAGGGCAACCGAAACGTCGCGTCACTGTCGTGAAGGTTCGAGGCGAAAGGATGTGTATGCCATGCATGGCGCCTTCCTGACGTCGTCGCCTCCTTTTCAGACCTCGAACTGAGCCAGAGCGAGCTGTTCGAGGTCAAGGCCAAGTACGAGGAAAACTCCCACGCCAGGTGAGTCGTCCCGAGTGGTCTGACTCGGCCCAGTCGTGAGCGGGCATGTTCAGAGCACACTCTGCGGCCAGCCGGCGCAGCCTCCGAGGCACTGAAGCAGCGCACTCCTCGCTCCGTGTCTCCTCGAGCTTCCGCCCACTGGCTGCCACCGAGGCGCGGTGTCCTCTTTCTCTCTGTCTCAGTCGAATGTCTTTGTGCCGTGTGCTCTAGCGGCAACGACTGCCGCGATAGATCCTCGGGGACTGGGATCGCTGGGTCGGCTCTCAGGCGAGTGGACTCAGGGGCCTGCGACAAGTCGTGCGTTGGCCCGCCGGGGCAGTTTAGGCTTGCCGTAAGGACGGCCGTGTGTAAGTGTACTGCTCACTATGCATTAGCTTATGCCCGCACTGCGTGACCGGCTGTACTTCGCGTTCTTGCAATTCAGCATGCGCAGTTGTGTTCTTGTGTGCGTATGCCACTTAGCGAGGTCGTATACAGCAGAGCAAAGATCAGCAACAGATGTGCATCAGGGCAGCTATGATGTCCCTGTGCCGACGTGGTTAACACGAACACGTATAGCAAAGCGATTTAGATTATGAGTTATCTAAATACTTTTGGGCGTTCCCTCACGCACGTGTTCGTACCCGCCGTACCCGGCTGTCCAAACAGCGAGCCTTCGACGTCGATCGTGGGAACTGCACGTGGCGCGCGCACGTGCCGCCTGTGTGGGCGAGCTGCCGGTGCGTGGCACGCGACAGTTGGGAGCTGGAGCATTAGCCGGGCCGACAGATGTTCCTCGCGGCCGGCGCGGCGGCCGCAGCCGTACGTGCCCAAATTACGCGGCGGCGACGCGCCTCCCAGCGTCAATTTCGCCACCTGCGTCCTCCTTGCGTCGTATCAATCGTGGCGGCCGCCCATTATCAATCGTGGCGGCCGCCCATTATCCGGCGGATAGTTGATCCATTACGGGCGACCTGGGCCGATGATGACGAATGGTGCGGCGACCGCCCCCTGCCGGCCGACCGGGCCGACCTTGACACGGCCTCTGGTCTCCGCTAGGGGACCGCGCGCGCAGATATCGCCGGTGGGGTCTGACGAGGCGGCGGGATGTGCGCCGAGTGGGCGATGACGCCGATGGGTTCTGATGAGGTTGCGCTGGTCTCCGCCGGGCGATCGTCCGCGCAGATGTCGCCGCTGGGGTCTGATGAGGCGGCGGGATGTGCGCCGAGTGGGCGATGACGGGAGCGGGCGTCTGGATCGGCGATCAGGGGCAGACGCGACCGCGGGTTGGGGTCAGGGCGGCCGCGGCGGCGCTCAACTGGGGACTGAATTGGGGCATGTACCGGTGTGGCTACACGCTGGACAGGGATCGGGTCATGGGCCCGCGTCAGGGGATGGGAGAGGAGCGTTATGCAACGTCATCGGCATCATGCAGTTTGTGAAGCCTTCGTACTATGATCCAGAACAGAGGTCGTCACCCGTCTAAAGTCAAGGGCTCGGTCGGAGACGGGGGGGGGGGGGGGGGCACCACTTCTAGGCGTACCTTTGTTTTCGTTAACACCATATATGACTCCTGTTCTCTTATGGTGGGAATTTACTGGGCTCTGCCCCCCCCCCCCACCCTTTAAGGAAATCCTAGGTGCGGCCAGGTGTAGCTGTCTACTGAGCGTGACAGGATCCAGCCACTCGGGAAATGGGGCATCAGACTCCTGGTCGCCTGTCGGGATCACGTATGTTCCCAGTACCGATGTGTTAGCATGTTCCACAACCTCATGAAGGTATGTGCGCCATTCGTTCTGCTGTCACAGTTTGCTCGCTTCGAGGCGCGCGCCCGTTCAGCTTCTGCAGCGCGCTGTTCGTTACTTTTCAGGTCTGACGAACTAGACATGGTGCTGGTGGACCTGGAGCGCGCGAATCAGGTCAGTTCCGCGGTCGGCCAGCGGCCGCGCACGTGGAGCTGGGAATACCTGCATGATAGCATGATACCCCCTACGTGATCCCATCACCCAGGGCACACGCTAAGTGCTCTTTGAATTTTGTTCTTAACTTTGTTTTGTACGCTTGTGGGGTGAAAAATGGTCCACTACAAGAATGCACAGGGCATTCACACACGCGTGGCTACCATTCAGGCGTACTTTTGACGTGCGATTTACCTGGTGAGTTCACGGTGAATCATTTTCCATGGGCTTAAAGACGCCACGTGTATTATTTATGTCAAAGGGATTGGAGCCGTAGGCATACCATGGAAGGACTCATTTCGAACATGCACTTGCATTCATTCTTCACGTGCATACGGGATTGCGCCATGAGAAGCACTTCGCCCCGATCTCCCTTCGGCTTTTATCGTTGACTTAGCCCTGGATTTACATACCACAGCGTTCAAAGTGTCTGTTTTGATAACCGAGTAAGCCTCTTATTCGTTTGAACTGTATGAAGAATGCAAGCATGAATGCAAGTGCAAAGCGAACGCTGCGCTGCCGGTATTGATTCCATTCTGTCGTGGAATTCCTGTGACGCACTGGTTGAGCGCACGGTACGATCCCGTGCCACGTGGGCGGACGTCCGTCAGTTTCCGCCGATCAGTCGCATGTGCCGCACCGCGGACACACGCCGCACGCCGCACGCCGCACACAAACGGAGGCGCACCGCACTCAGAGTGCGTTCCTGCTGACCGGGGCAGGCTCGGACGCCGGGACGGCTCCTCGTCCCTGCAGTCCGGGGCAGGCTCGGACGCCGGGACGACCCCTCGTCTCTGCAGACTGGATCAGACCCGGACGCCGGGACGACCCCTCGTCCCTGCAGACTGGACCGGACCCGGACGACGGGCCGACGCCTCTTCCCTGTAGGCCGGGCAGACCCGGCCGGGGCGACCCCTGAGTCTCGGGACGTCTTGCAGCGCCGCTCGGCGACGGCAGGCTCAACGCCCGCTCATTAATAAAGCGTCCATCGCCTGGCGATGACGCCGCGCTCCGACGACCGCCGCGGCGGCGTGGCGTACCGGGCTGCGCGCTGCCATATGCCGTGCTGCCAGACGCGCCGGCCGCCATCTGCGGCCTCTAATGACACGGCTGACGGCGCCGGCGTGACTCCCGCCTCGGCGGGCGCCACTTTTATAATGGCACGGGTCACCAATTGATAAGCCGTCACGCTATTGACTCAGCGGGGCCGCGGGTCGCCGTGCATGCTGCAGCGTTGCATGCGCCGACGTTCGTGTGCGGCGTCGCGGCTGGATGAGGCAAGACGCGATTTGTCGGCGACCAGTCGAGCCGGAACTGGAACGGCCGCTGAGGTCGGCGGAGTACGTTGGCGGCCCCGCCAGCAACGAGCGCTGGCGGCGCCGATGAAGTTAGCGAGATGCGGAGGGTCGCTAGCCCGCTCAGGTCACTGTTTTGGGGGTAGGGGATGAGTAGATGAAACGGGCCTCGCCCTCTCTCTCTCTCTCTCTCTCTCTCTCATCATCTCAATCCTCTATCTCTCTCTCATCCTTCTCACTCTCGTCTCTCTCTCTCGTCCTCTCTATCCTCTCTCTCTATCCTCTCGTC